CCTATTATATTTCGTGATCCGATTGACCAAATAACTTCTTTCAATTAATTAATCTTTATGTAAGGTATTGTTTGAAATGCAAAAAGCTAGTGTCACGAGCGGGATTCACCTACGACCTTCGGCTACGTCGTGGTTCGAATCCCGCTCGTGACTCTAGCCTTTTCATTTCAACCAATTCCTTACATAAATTAATTTAAATAAATAAGATTGAAAAATGATCATACACCTCCTTTTGGAGAGTAATGTGTTTTACATTTTGAATTTAAATTGTAACGGTATATACAACCGTACAAATAAATATTATATGCAGGGTGAGTATAACCTAATTTTTATTGGGGCTCTTTTGGATAAAGTCCCAAGACACTTAAACTTTTATTTTTTGTCTAGTTTTTCAAACTAACCTTATTGCGACCACTTTGAACATACAGGGTTGAACTGTGGGGTTTTGTCAAGCAATCCAACATCTAGGGCATCCAATTCTTCCAATCTAAAGACCTTAGATAAATCGTCAAAACTCTTGACTAACTAACTACTTTACTAATATCCACAACGACCTATCTACCCACCCAACTGCTTCCGCCCTCTCCACACATTCCATCTCTATATAATAACGAGTACCTCTTCTACCCTCAATTTGATTAGTTATATAGTTTCTGTAAAGGAGACATGGAGGAATTTCCAAGTACCACCATAATAGAATGAGTAGTACGTAAAAAGGACAGGATGTGTTTATTAGCGTGAATATGTAGTGTTTGGCCCTATGATTGGGTCAAATGGAATCATTGTTGTATATGCCCACGTTGTGTAAACATTTTTTCAGATGCCAATGACTGGTTATAGTCTTATCCACTCCCCTGAATTAAGAATGAATGAGAGTGTAAGCACTAACTTCGGCGGCAGGCCGAGGTCAGACTGCCAAAACCCGAAGTAAGTGAGACGGCTTGCCAGGAAAAGTCATAAACTCAATTCTGTCTATATGCTTATGTGTATGAAGCTTATATAAATCAAAATAAATTCTGATAAATCTATCGTGATAATTTCAGAAACAATATTCATAAATTTAAATCGACAACAATTTTCAAAAATTAAAAATCATCCTATGAGCAATTATAATTATCGATAATAGGTACAGAATGTAAATGAATAAAGTTGAAAAGTTACTTAGTCCGCACCTTCTGTACAATAAGATCAAGCCCTGGCCAGATCAGGCAGAACAATCTATGATAAATCTACAAGTTTCTTCTTTAAAAATTTACCAAAGGGTAGTAATTGGATAAATACTAGGGTTCTACTCACACACTGTAAGTAAAGAAGGTTGTTTATACTTTTTAGACCTAAAATTATCCATTATACATAACTCAATCGAAGTTTTGAAGAAAGTCACACAGTTTGCGAGCCTTCGTTTTATTCCAATGAATTTATACTATTTCTATAAAGGATAGAAAGTTACTTCCTTCAACACAGTAAGCACAAATATAACCAAATAGAAAAGTAGAATTTGTCTTTTGTTATCATTACGCTTAAGAATATTTTGGTTGGCTAAATTCCTTGGGAAACAGGAGGCAGAAGAAATAAAAAAGTAGAACAATTTTTAAGGTATAACATTACATTTAAATAGTTGAAGTTTATTTTTTAAAAATTATGCTAAAAGAAAGGTTTTAAGGTAGTTGAGTTTATTTAAAAAGATTCATGGTAAAAGAAAGATTTTAAAATCTCTTTTGAACAGCAAGATCAGGTGTAATCAAAATGATCATTTTGTTAATGCAGAAGGTAAATTTTACGTTGTCATTTGTTTTTTTGTACGAATTTTAATAAAGAGTTTAAAGGACATGAAACTTAATTTCGATTAATTATTATTAAATTAATTAAACATGTTGTATGGATGTAATTTTGAACAAGATCAGATGTAATCAAAATGATCATTTTTTTAACGCAAAAGGTAAGTAGTATGTTACTTTTTTTCTGTACCGATTTTAATAAAGAGTTTGATAACATAAAACTGAAAATAAATGAAAGGTTATAAAATTAATTTAGTATAAATAAATTAAGTAAGGATGCACCTTCGAACAATAAGATCAGGTTTCATCCAAATGATCATACTCAAGGTCATGCAGAAGGTGGTTTTTGTTTTTTATACGTACTTTAATAAAGATTTTGAAGACATGAAACTTAATTTAAATAAATTATTATTAATTAATTAAAAGGTTATAAGGATATACCTTTTAACAATAAGATCAGGTCTCATCAAAATGATAATTTTTTAATACAGAAGGTAGATTTTATGTGGTTTTTTGTTTTTTATACGGATTTAACTAAAGAGTTTGGAGGATATGAAACAAATTAATAAACATTATTTTAAATTACGTTATATGTCCACCAAACTTATTATTTACATCCATATAAAAAATTTAAAAAACCCACATAAAATCTACCTTCTTCATTAAAAAATTATCATTTTGATGAGACCTAATCCTACAGTCCAAAGAGACTTTAAAACCGTTCTTTTACCATGAATCTTGTAAAATAAACTTCATCTACCTTAAAATCTTTCTTTTACCATGATTGCCCCGAGGAATATCGAGTACTCTGGGGTGAGTGTGTGACGTCTGGAGAGTAAAAGTAAGTTATTAGCGCGAATGGAGTGGGTTCAACCCCGCCCCGAGGAATATCGAGTACTCTGGGGGAGTGAATGTGACCAGACTTCTATGTTTGTGGCGATGTATATGTTATGTATTGTATGTTGTGTATCAATTCTTAAATTGACAACCTGAGGTACTAACAAGAGGCTAGCTTTTTAAAATAACGACGTAATATACAAGTAAAAGCAGAGAGTCAGTAACCAGATCGAGATGCTCAAATGGCTGCAGTTCAATACAAAATACGCGAGAAAGACAGGAAAGAGAAGGAATACATGCGGAGGGCCGGCGATGACCTCAGCTGTTTGTCGGCCCATAAACCTTCCACTTTATATATATATATATTTACCATGATTTGTTATAAATAAACTTCAATTATTTAAATATAATGATTTGATAGTTGTTCAACTTTTTTTATTTCTTCACTTCTTTTGCTTTGTTTTCCTTTTCTTTGTTACTTAACTTGACAAAGTTTGGTTCTTTAAGCGACCTCAAAAAACAAAACATCTAAACTTCAAAAAAAATGATTGAATCTAATACATACTTTCAATTAAAGTATAATTTATTTACTAGTAGTTTTATAACAGTATTGATCACTGTGTCTGTTATTTGTGATATAAAAAGTATTGTATGATAATGACATTTTCTGCGTCAATCTATACGAATACCGACTGACAGGGATGATCATCGATGATCAATCCACGGGTGACAGACGAATCCAAACGGTATCACTTGAAGCGAAAACTACTGTTAAATAGAACAACGTTCGTAAATAATAATTTATGTTTTTTTTCTTTTTTAATTGCAGCATATATTTTGTTTGTGCTATTTTAAAAACATAAGCAGTCCAAAAATTTCAAATCCCGCAGTCGGAAGATCTAGGACAAAGAATTGCGCAGAGCTGCCAAGATGTCACGTCTGCCCCAAAAAAGACAACGGGCGAAGCCTGGAACTTGCTGGGTCGAAGACAAAAATTAAGTCATTTTAATTCCAAGGCTTTTGATACTTTAAAGCGAGTTCGTTTTTAAAATCAAGTCACACGCTGAAAGTTTTTAACAGTGGTAGCCCTGGTCGGTCACATTTTGGCTTTTCAAGTACAAGAGTATTAAGCATTTTTTTGCAGTTATTTCTAAAAGAATTTCTTGATAAATATAACAGAACAGAGGTATAAACAATTGTTTCCCGTGCCGCCATAAATGCTCACATTTTTCTATCTTGAAATATCCAATCGTCAAAATAAAAAATGAAGGGCCTGAAAAGTCAAGAATTGACTTTGCTGATTGATTCGTCATTTCCCGATACTTCACTTATCAAAATGTTTATAGCGACCATTACAATTTAAAATTTATTATATTTTCCAAACTTCCAATAGATAATAATTAATGTAGTTTTTATTTGTTTTATTATAATTAAACGAGCGTTATATAGGGTTAAATAATCGCCAATTGGTGGCTAAGCAAATGTTGGATGATGTTCAATTTTTTTTCTTAATTCTTTTATTAAATTTACAACCACTTATTTCATTAGCCTCAATTGGACGCATGCATATAAAAACTTAAAAAAGTTCAAATGCTTGACGGCTTGACACATTCGACCTAGACATCATCAGACTTTGCGCAATGTGGAGCGAATTAGATTAAATTCTTAACGATGTAAATAATTAAACAAAGTTTTAATCAAAGTCAAACCAGGATTTATTCTTTATACATTTTAAATTTACAGACGATAAGTGGACAAATTTCTTTAAATCACAAATCTATAAAATTAGCGTAACATTTATGTTTTGAACACGAATATAACTTCATAGATTTTGCATAACTTAAAATATAAAGAAAATGTGCATTTTGAAAAAAAGAAAAAACTAGTACTGAACAGCGTGTGTTGCTTCAAAGACATTCGGACCGATTTTACGAATTCTTTTGTTTATTCTGTCAATATTTTTTTGTTTTCGTTTGTAAAGTTTGTATTCGCATGTATTCTTTAAACTGTAAGAAAATATAGGGATGGATTTCAAACAGACTGAACAAATTAATGATTATATTTTATGAAATAAGAAGTTCATATTAGCAAAAAAAAAAATAGATTATGATCACCGTTTTCAAGACCTAACTTTTAGGTGAATTAAAGCCCATTTTTATCATGAGAGAATAGTGTTCTTTTTTTACAGTTTAAGACGATATTTGTTAGTTTAGGTATAAAAAAATGGAACTCGATGGTAGAACATGATGAATAGATGATGGTAGGACCCTTGTCAAGATTCGACTTTAGATCAATGAAAACCCTTTTTGAAAGGAGAGTATAAAGAGTTTAATTGAACGGTTTAAAATGAGATTATTTATTTATTTTCGGTTGTAAGTGACTTACCTGACATAACGAGCGAAGCGCAAAAGACGAAATAGACAAGTAACATAGTCAAAACCAAAAAAGGGGAAAAAATCGGGAAAATAAAAAGAAAAAGGAATTTCCCGGAAAATTAGCGCGGAAATTCCCGGAATGTCTTTCTCTTCCTCCTCTCCGTCCTGTGAGCCTTTATAAACAGGGCGTCATGAGGGTTTTTCATCTGGAAAATAGAAGCAAACGTGGAAAACCCATCCGGGTGAATCCTGTCTGTAAATGTTTTCTGTAATACCTGGACAATTTTTAGTTCGGCCTATCGCCGGGGTCGCCTGTCTGTGCGGTAAGGGAAAGATCTCTATTTTCGAAGGAAAACTGGAAAACCGGGGTCGTTCTCCTTCTGAAGATAGTCCTGATCCCGGTCTTCACATCTTGGGCGGCGGGCGTCTTGGATCCTCTACTTGCCGTGCACTCTGTCCACTTTCACTTTTCCGTCCGGCGAACGGGGGAATCGCGTAACACCTGTTTTCCGTGGAAAACCTTTTTCCGCGGGGGGTTTTTCCGAGGGAGGAGGTCGGGCGGAGATGCCGTCTCGTCCCCTTGCTTTTCCACAATCCTGTCCGCGATTTTTTCGGGCAGAAACTGGGAGGCTTATTTTTAAGACTTTTCCTTGGGTTTTCGACGGGGAACACGCCTTTCCCCGCGTCTAATATTAGACCCGGGTCTCGTCTTGGATTCGGCTCCGTCCTCCGGGTGGGGGGCCGCTGGGATGGTGGGATCGGGGATCCTGCGCTTCCCGGTCCATCCCGGCTATCGACCGCCGGAAACGAGGGGAACGACTGATCGCCTCGATTCACCATCCCTCGGAATCGGATCGATTGTACAAACATTGACGGAAAAACGGGTACACGGTGTACGACCGGATCTGCGATGTCACCCTCGCCGGTCCCACGGCCCGTCCAAACCGACATATCCACATATTAATAGCTTTTTTCCATCCTTGGAGGAGTCCCAGGGCGATGATCGCGACCTATGATCGATTCGGAAAAGTGCCGGGAATTTCGCCTTGACTCTTCTAATTAGAGAAGAAGTGTAATTTCAGACCCTTCCTCCGAGATTAAAAAAATTACTGAAATTTCTGATTTGGGACACGCCAAAACAGTTTCACTCAATCAGCCGTTCCAAAAGATTCGCTTCAACGAGTCGACAACTAAAAATTTTTGGCTTTAAATAATACCTAACCCGTTTCGCGTGTAGACCACGAAATTTTTCCAAACATACTAAGCTCTCGTCCACAAATTTATTATATAATTACCCAGTAAACATTTTACGACTTTACTAAAACACTACAAATCTGCTGTTAAAAAGAACAGCCAAACACAATGGATACACTTGTCACAACGCCATTTGTAATAGTCTTAAGGAATCAGTCCATCACATCTTTCGAAAAGAAATGCATCCCAGGCATACCTACCTAAGATGTCATTAAATCTAACATCTTCATCTAGGGAGAAGCGAAATCAGTTGCACATAGCCTCATTCTAGATAGGCTCATATAAGACACCTCCATGCTGAAAGAGGATCTTCGAAAAAATGTAATACTGGACACGTCGATAGACACCATGATTCTGAAGTATAACTTTATAAAGAAATACTAAATTATAATTCCAAAAAAGAGCATCATGGGAGAAATGTCTGCCAATATTAGGACGGTTGAAAACCCAACATGGCATCGAAGAAGGATTTTCTGGAAGAAAATTAAGAGATGTTAAAATATCTATTTCTCACGAAAAATTTACCACTGAATTGCAAGTTGTGGCTGTGGCTCTGGGCAAAAGAAATAAAAAGGAAGGGAATTAAAAGCCAGCTTCTATGTAGACAATCTGCACTCAAAGCCTGCCTTCACCTGAGGTAAGATTACGTACAGTATGGGGAGTGCAGAGGGAAAAATTCGAACAAACTTCTCTTGTCTCTGTCCTAGGGTACACAAGGGATAATGTAAAGAACTGGCCGACTCGATCGGTGTTACGAGTTTAATTCCAGAATTAAAAATATGGCTATCAATAAATTATTGTATCAGACTGACAATCCCATTGTGGCCAAAATAGCTGCCTCAGCATCACAGGATCAGGTAAGTAAGTTCTGGAGCCATAAAAGGTCACCACCGATTGTCGATGTTTTCGTAACGCCATTCCTCTCATCTAATCAGCGTTTTAGAATAGTTTAGACCCAATCTACAATGTTTCTTTCTTTGTCATAACACCTCGAATATACATGCGGGACTATTCCAGATTTCCATCAAGGATTTCTAACTTAATGTTTCAGGCTGGTGGCACGGAACTCCGTTCTCTGGTGGAGGATAAGGCTGGGTTTGTCCCAAACAAAGGTTGGCAGTCTGAGAGGAATTTTGTAATGGTCGGATCACTTTATCGGTCCAGGTTAACTGTGGTGTCCAAGGCTCTGTGGTTTCAAGTATACAGGGCATATCGCGGAGAGTGTCATATGTGTAGTAGGAGGTGCCGACTAAAATGCCAGGGCACCACGCGTGGCTTGAACGTATGAAAACTGTTGTGTCGGTGGTGGCGGAGATGGATGGTGATTACCAAGGTCGGGGAAGGCGTTCGGTCCAGGAGGTGGTTGATGTTCCATTCTGTGTGCTGAAGGGTGTTCGTAAACGGGGCGGAGGTCGCCTTAACCTTTATAGTTCTTAACCATACAACCCTTGCAATTGGCGTGATGTGTAATTACACGGATCAGAAACAACCACAGCTTAACCGTAAATAGAGAATTGGTCGGAGGGAGTCTCCAAATTGTGCTAATTTTGACTGCACTGAGGATTGGAACTACATAATTCTGGGAATGCCTTGAATATGGGGAAATGAGGGAAAATCTTTTCAGTGGTATCGAATCCTTGGTTGGTTGGGGTGGTCAAACCTTTTTCTATAGAAACATTGATTCCAGCTGGTAGAAATGATATATACTATGTAAGTTATTGTTTTATAAGGGAATAAGGCATTGAGGTGTGATTGAAAAGTACATATGTAATATCTTCATTTGTTCAGTAGAGCATGGTACCAAACAAAAAAATCCAGCAAATATAACTAAAGAGAGGCTAATAAAAAAGCTCATCTTCGCCTAAAATGCCTGATTTATTTTATAGTGCTATGCCCCCATGGACCTATGTATGTGGGATCTGGAGCTCTCTAGTCAAATCTCAGTTCCAGAGGACAAACAATTCAAAACTAACTATGAAGTTGTCACCCAATCCAATGCAAATCTGCAAAGACGACTAGCAGAAGTAGCAAATCATAAAACATAATTTCTGTTGTCATGCTATTAGAATCACTACACTTCCACTGTCAAAAATGTTTAAACACAGTTTATAAACTAATCTAAACTGTACTAGGCTTTATTTATTTTATTACGTGTCCGTCAATTGTTGAAATGACATCATACCACAAAGCATCGACGGTGTTTTTATTATAATTATAAAAGATGTGTTTGTAAACTGCTGAACGAGTATAAAGAAAAGTATTAATTCGTTTAAGCATAATGATTTCTAGAGCTTTAGATAATATTTATAGGTCGAAAATCATTTGGGGATGATGGCGATGAAAGAAGATTGGCGTGTAAGTATAAGTCTGTCGACCCAGTTGTGGTTGAATCAGTCTTTCACCTAGTGTTTTTTTTTTACGTTTAATACTATGAAACTGAACTTTGGTGCACACATAAATCGCTTGGTAGGCAACAGCAAAGCGGTTAATAGGACACTTCCCATTATTCAGAATGGAGTTTCGCATGAGCCAAAAGAATAAAATACTGATTTACAACGTGTTTTTCTTAAACCATGCCTGCTAGATGCTTGCCCAGCATGGAATTTTACCTGTAAGACAAACTTTTTTTGCTTTTGGTTTGCTATTTATTAATCACATTTCATGTTCTAACTACCTACCTTGCGTAAAGATTCAAAGATTTGCTCTTTTTAACCACTCTTTCCCGGTGCTCAGAGCGATAAAGTCAGGGGAGTTGGATTGACAAGCATTTTCTGTACTTTACCGCAGCTCTTCAACTAAGCTTGCTGGGTTATGATTCGCGCAGGCATTTTTTTTTTTAAATGGCTCCACAGAAAATAGTCAAGTGGAGTTAAATGGGGTGACGGAGTAGGCCAACAGATCGGGCTATGAGGTCTATCCACTTATCCCGGAAGTTACGATCCAAATAATCTGCAGAGAATTGTGCGCGGGGCATCCATCAAGCTAGAGAATCATTCTTTGTCGTTGTTGCTGAAGTACATCATCTGGTACATCATGTTGGTAAAACCTCCTTCAAAAAATTGATGAACTGAGCACCATTTAAGTTATTTTCGTAAAAATAAGACCCAATTTAATTTATTTCCGCTAAGTTCAAATCAAATATTGTAAACCACTGGATGATGACAAGAGTACAAAATTCTCGGATTTTCCTCTGCCCACGTTCGAAAATTCAAACGGTATAATATGCCATTAGAGGTGAACTTGGATTCATAAGTCTACAGGATGTATGGAAGAACGTTTTTTTCAGCCTCCCAAATCGACATTTTTGCAAGGGACGTTAGTCGCCTGTCATAATCAGAATCCCGAAGTCCCTGGACAAGATGAGAGCGATTCGGCTTAAAATTGTATGTTCGGAGTATATCTCAAATTTTATTTTTTGAAAAACCTAAAACCCTTCCAACATTTCGGAGGATGGAATTCGGATTTTCGCGATACAGTAAAATCTTCAGCTCATCGAAATTACGCTGCCGGTTTCTTGGTGATGGAACAACAACACGACGCGCAATACCACCACTATCAACAAAGCAGTCGTACATGACAACTCGCTCTTGATCGGAAAAATGTGCTCTTTGGTTCATTTTGAGTAGAATGCTGAATGTCACGAATAGGTGCTATTCGTAAAAGTAAAATTTATTTACTTCCAAGAATTAATATTTTCTCTTATAATGCCAGTTTGACAAACAAAGACAGAATGTAAACAATTGATATTTACTCTAGTGAAGAAGCAAATTATTGGAATTAACAACGAAACCAACGAAAGCGTTTTTTCAAATTTTTGCTATAACTTTGTCATTTTTGGACCAATTTAAAATCCGATTGCACCATTGTTTTCAGCGTAAAAATCTTTTAAAATGATGTGTCAGGATGAAAGAATCGAATTTGAAATTTTGAAGTTAAACTGGACCTGAGGTACCCTGCATAGTTTTTATCCAAAAAAGGTAAAAATTTGAAACTAGACTAAAAAATATTAAACAGAATTTTTTTAAATAGTTTCATAGGTTCAAGAGAAATGCAGCCGTGCCATCTAAAAAGGACACCCTGTATGTATCTGTTATTTGTACAGTTATTTATTTATAAGTTAATTTATTTAATATTAAGGTATTTATTTTGTACAAATTGTTTCACCTTCTGTTTGTTATTTTCATAATTTTTTTTCACAATTGTTAAATGTTAAATACTATTGCTCTTTATCATTTAAAAAATAATAGGAAGCATAGTGTACAAACACTTTCCCTACAAGTGGAATTTTTGTTACAAATATGTAATTGTACTATTTAAAATGAAATCATCCATCCATCCATTCAAACTATATATGTGAATTTTACTGTCAAATATGCGTTTAGATTTAATGTTGATGGGTCTGTTTGTTTAAAAATAAAAGTAATGTATGTTAATAGTAGGTTGTAACGAGATTTTAGAAGCTCTGGTAGGAATTAATTGTTGTAGGATGTGATTAAAAAGGGGAAAAAATCATTGTTGGAATATGTGCAGGGTCAGATAATAAGTGCACGCGCTCCATTCGACTTTCGATGCTCCAGATTAGTTGGATTGGTGTTTACGTAATGTTTTCGAAAGCAACCATAGCCGCCGGGAGGTTATGCAATCACGGAGGTCACCACTCCAATGCTGGTCGCCGATCGGCTTGTTGATCCCTCAGTTTGAAAATTTTGCACTTTCGGTTCGTCCAGTCAGTTCCAAATTTTGAGTGTTTTTAATTGCAAAATTTCTTTTTTTAATAAACAACCATGGAGTCGAAAGTGAAGCTGACAATGGAGCCGGCGTATCTCAAACTCCAGAAATACTACAATGAAAGAGGTTCAAATATAAATATGAAAGAGTTATTTGACACAGATCCAGATCGTTTCACTAAATACAGGTATTTTTAAATACATTATTTAAATTAAAAAAAAACTAACTTGGAAAATTTAGTGTGAAACTCACCACTCCGAAGGATGGCGACATTCTTGTGGACTTTTCGAAAAACAGGGTCACAGACAGTGTACTCGAGGCGTTGCTGGAACTTGCAAAGGCGCGCGGTGTCAGTCAGGCGTGTGCAGCTATGTTCGCCGGTGAGAAGATCAACACGACGGAAGACAGAGCGGTGCTCCATACCGCGCTCAGGAACCGGTCGAAGCAGCCCGTCTACTGCGAAGGTGCGGATGTCATGCACGAGATACGAGACCAGCTTGAGCACATCAAGCTCTTCACACAAGACGTGTTGAACGGGAGGTGGAAAGGCTACATGGGGGATGTGATGACCGATGTCGTCAACATCGGAATCGGCGGCTCAGACCTTGTACGTTTTTTATGTTCGTATCGCCATGCTCACATTTACATTTCTGTTTTAATGTTTCAGGGTCCTCTCATGGTCACCGAAGCGCTTAAGCCATACAGAAACTCTCTCAAGGTGCACTTTGTCTCAAACATAGACGGTACCAATCTTGCAGAGGTTCTAAAAACAGTCCAAAGAGAGACAACACTCTTCATCATTGCCTCAAAGACTTTCACCACTCAAGAGACCATGACCAACGCTTTATCAGCCAGGAAATGGTTCCTTGAAGTTGGAGGGGTAAATTTAACAATTAAACCATAAAATACATGTAAAAGTATAAAATATTTTAAATAACTGTAAGCCCCATTTAATTATATTAAAGCAAGGCAAACAAGGTCATATGTTATATCACTGGTCATATAACAGACCTATATTATTCTTTTACACTGGGCAGATTTGATAAATTGATCATAGTTATTTTAAAAAATTAAACTTTGCAACTGGCAAGTAAGGCAAGGTGTTCGACTTGTATTTGCCACACTAGTGGTTCTGGGTTTGAATCCTAGCAGATTACATGGCTTCTTAATTGATTGAAGTATGAAAAATGTATTGTAACTTGGTTTGACCCCTCGTCTGCGACACACAATGGGTACTTAGACGTTACGCACTCCCATATGACATGATAGGGAAAAATGAGGCAATCACAAGTCCTTCCATGACTGAACCTAGATAGATTTATTTCCTCTATTTTTATAACTCACCAGTCAGCTTCAGATTGTTAGTCAACCTCCATAGGCTCCTTAATCTTGCTTTTCTGGCTTTTCCTCTCCTAGCTGAAAGAATCTACACCAAAATCAGAAAAATGTAGAATGTGTTCTGCAGTCTCCTCTTATTCCTGGCAGTATCTCCACAGTATTTCTTATGTCAGTACTCCTATCCGGTTCATGTGCCTTCTTAGGTGCAGTGCATAGTCCAGGAGTCAAACCAATTTGTTGCTGTTACCTTCCCGTAATTCCTTTATAAGTCTTGTGGGCTTGGAGTCTTGCTCCGCCAGGTTTTGGACATTAAGGATCCATTTTTGGATGTATCATTTTATGTGACAAGGTGCTAGGCCATGAATTCATATTGGCTCCTTTTTTGGCCAACATGTCCTCTTTCTCATTACTTCTATGTTCCGAATGGTCAGGTCATTAATGTCACTACCTTCTCCAGGGATTCCATACAATTCCATAAGCTTTTTACCTTTACCTTACATGATGTCTCCTGACTGCTCAGAAACAATGACTATCTTGTGTAGAATGTGTTTCTAGTCTTTTTATTTCTCCAGTACAGTGAGCAATTGCTGTGATTTAGGAGTAAAAAACTAGTGTCTAATTTTAAAGACAGTTCACTCCGAGGACTCTAACTCCTGTGCCCCACAATGAGTAGTTGGATTTTAGGCCCTTATATTTCACAGGAATTACTAAATTAAAAACTAGTTAAGTACAGATAGTTTATGAACCACAGCAAAAACATTTTTATGATAGCTTATAACTCTCCCAGGTTGCTCTACCTTAAGTGAATTATTTCAAGAACATAAAAACATATCCACAACAAAACTAGCCAGCATTTTTTTCATGCAATATTTGAATTGGTCAGACTTAGGCCTAATCAATTGCTTGCATAATTGTACTCAGTCTCTTCTAAGATCAGCAGAAGTCAGCTCAACTGTACTATATGCTTATACTCAAATGTCCTTAGTTTGTCTATTTCTCAGCCCAAATGGGTTATGCTCAGTACTCTTTGACACTATTTCAAAGCTCACCAGTCTTCATCTCATATTCATTGGCACCAATGTCCTATGTCTAAAGCATCTTAATTTGTTCTCATTCTCTTCACAACTGCCCTTGGCTTTTTGGTGACTCATCACTAGGATTGCTTGTTTCATTTATCTCTTAGTTGACTGATTAATCTTTTAAGCCTCTTTTAATTAATTTGAAATGCTCTAGGTAAGGGGCATCCTTTTATGAATCCACTGCTGTCATCTGGGTTTTTTTTAAACAACCGTATTGCACTTTACATAACATTTTTTGTTTAAAAAAAATAAATGCAATAAAAAATAAGCAAAATTAATTTTATGCAACAGATATTTACTTTTAACATAATTAAGTTTGTTTCTTTGCATTATAGCTTAGGGACTTGAGACAGCACTTTGTGGCCGTTTCGACCAACAGGGGCAAAGTGAAGGAGTTCGGAATCGATGAGAAGAACATGTTCGAGTTTGGAGAGTATGTCGGAGGCCGTTATTCAGTCTGGTCTTCCATTGGACTGTCGGTCGCGCTGGCCATCGGTTTTCCCAACTTCGAGCAGTTCCTATCCGGCGCTTACTTCATGGACAACCATTTCAAAACTGCTGAATTCCGTAGGAATGTAAGTTCAGAAAAAAAGATTACGTTGGTAAACTAATATAAGTGACCTCTAGATAATACATATTTTTAATTTGATATTTGTTAAATTGTACAAATAAATAGACCTAATTTTATCTCTATATCTAATTTAATTTCAATAAAGCATTTGAGCTTGACTGCTTTCGACTAACCTCTCGTCAGCGTTCTCACAGATGTAAGATGGTTTTTTTGTTCAAAGTCTGCCCTAAAGGGTCATAAATGGTCACAACCGACAAACTATTCCGGGAACATCTCGTGTGTCACCGCATTGTTTTACAGTTCTCTTTCATTAACTGATATTTTCATATTAATTTAAATCATTTAAGACAAGTTAGAATGAAATTTTAATAATTATTTAATACAAGAATTGTTGCTTAATTTTACATCAGGTTCCTGTATTGCTTGCGATGATTGGGATATGGTATAACAATTTTTACGGTTCTGAGACCCATGCGATACTACCTTATGATCAATACCTACACAGATTTCCTGCATACTTCCAACAAGGAGACATGGAAAGCAATGGAAAGTGAGTAATTTCAATGACTAAAGACAGTTTATAAATTTAAATGCTCTGTTACCTTATCACTCCTTATTACCTATATTGAAATCCTTTGTAACTGACTGCTGCTTCAGAGGGAGAATGGGAATGAGTTCTTGGGAATCAGGCTGACACTTTTTATCTTCACTTTCTGTTGAAAATAAAATAATTTAAAATTTTTGCATAATGACCGCACATTCCCTTCATTAAGTACCTTTCATTCCAATTTTTCAACAAGACCTCTCTACATATTCCCATCCCGAGAACCTACCATGTCCTCGCCAGCTCCTTATTAATAATTTATAGTTAATCCCTCACACTGATTTCTCAGGTTTTTCATGGCATGAGTCCTCCGTGTGCTGTGACTGTATTTATTTATTTTTTACATTGTAATAATTGTAATATATGTACAAATGTGTATAGGGAACAAATAAAAATTTAAAAAATATATATTTATTTTTGTAGATATGTGACTAGAATGAATGAAAAGGCCAACTTTCCGACTGGGCCTGTTATTTGGGGTGAGCCAGGGACGAACGGTCAGCACGCCTTTTACCAGCTGATCCATCAAGGCACACGCCTCATCCCCTGCGATTTCATCATTCCGGCATTGTCCCACAACCCACTCAGCAATGGACAGCATCACAGGGTAAGCTTGAAAAATACTCACATCATGATATTTTATTTTATTTATTCTCATTTCATTAGCTTCTTGTCGCCAATTTTCTTGCCCAAAGCGAGGCACTTATGAAAGGGAAGACGGTCGATGAGGTGAAAGCCGAACTTAAGTTGTGGCCTGAGGAAAAGGCAAGTAAAATCATTCCACATAAAGTGTTTGAAGGAAACAGGCCGTCTAATTCCATCGTAGTAAAGAAAATCACTCCTTTCACCTTAGGCGCCCTCATAGGTATAATACTGCCACTTTATTAAATTTCATTCATAATTTTAATTTTTTTATTTATTTTTTTATACCACTAGCCATGTATGAGCACAAGATTTTCGTTCAGGGTGTTGTCTGGGACATCAACTCATTCGACCAGTGGGGGTAAATGATCCTTTTCTCTGATATTTTATATATATATAAAGAACATACAAAGAAAATAAAAAAACAAAACTTTGTCTTTTCAGCGTGGAACTTGGTAAACAACTGGCGAAAGTGATCGAACCAGAACTCGAAACACCGGAGGAGATCCAGACCCATGACTCATCCACAAACGGTCTCATGAATTTCATTAAAACACAATGGTAGAGAATTATAAAGTTAGAACACAAATCCCTTTTTAAAAAAAGTGCCTTAAATTTTTTTCGGTTGTATAAATTTTTATTTTTGTTTTTTAATTAAATACATATGTACCTTTCTTTTCTTTAATTGTAATCCAAAAAATTTTAAGACTTAAACCATGCATTCTCTTTATCAAGACATTTATTTTGTTATCTTTTTAAAGAATTCTATTTTTATATGCTTATAATATAAATTGTTGGTGTTGCCAGTGGGATATGAATTTCTATTAATCCAAAAAAAATTCAAGACTTAAACCATGCATTTTTCTTTATAAAGACATTTATTTTGTTATGTTGTTTAAGGAGTTCTATTTTTTGTATGCTTATATTATAAATTGTTGGTGTTTCTTGTGGGATATGAGTTTTTATGCTATCGCTGTTAAGAAATTAATTTTTTGAATTGACGTTTTTATCTATTTTGATCTCCACCATCCTAATTTTCCCCAATATACAATATTGAGTGTTTTAAAATCCACAAATAAAAAAATAGTTAATAAACGGGACATAACAGACATCATATACAATTATACACACATACTGAGTAATGTTGGATTATAAAATTGCAATTTAATGTGACAAAAAATGTTGAAAATACACATTTTACAATTTCAAAAATTCAATAACAGATATCAACCACTTCACCTTGAATATTATTAAAATAACTTGTTACGAGTGAAACAGTCAAGGATTTATAAACATTTCTATGTTAAAAATAATTTACAATTAAAATAATAAAAAAGTATCTTGCTTTATGAATACAGTTGATTATCCAATGTTTGTTTAATGGATGTTGAAATTATATATTTATGATATACTCTGCATCTGTGTATCAAGAAAAGTTCATGTAAATTATATTTTTCTTGGTAAATTGTGAATTCTGCTTAAAAACTATGTAACTTATATCAATGGGTTTGAAGTACTTTTTCAGCCAGGTGACCAATATTTAAAAAAAATCACTCTTCAACTTACAATATTTAAAAGAAAAGTTGTACCAAAGTTTCTCGCAGTGTGTTTTCTATTTCTTGTTTTACAGCGGCTTTTCTATTCTTACGAGACTGCGGAAATCTATTTATACATTGTGCTATGCCGGTGTCTATACTACGATGAAGAGATTCGAGCCGGTTAACATCGCCCTTTCGACGAGTATGTTCCTCTTTTGGTATCTCTACCCTCCTAAATCATGCTTTTGAGAGGAAACATAAAAAATAATTGTTTTACAATTGAAAATTGTCTAATTAAAATACTTTGCTTTATGTTTATATTTCATTTTTTCTTTCTTCATTCATTCTATTAAAATGAAAGATGGAAATGTATTTCATTATAGCATGCATACAATTCACAGTGTAAAAAGTAAAACTATAAGGCCACATCACAAACTATTAGCTTGATAATGTTGTTAATCATGTTCAAAATTGGCTGTAATGACCATATATACATAATTAATGTTTACTAATCGATTGGTTATCAAAAAAAATTTGTTTATGCAAACTGCAAAGAGAACCCAGTTTATCTGTATAATCCAAGGGAAATGTAAACTTGTACACTGACAGGCAAAAAATTCCACCCACTTGTAATTTAACTTGATTTTTATATATTAATCAAAGTTTCACGTTTTTTAACGATTAATAATTGAGTCTTTGTCTAAAAAAGTTTAAAAAAATGTAAATTGCTAAGGAAAATGAAAAATCAAAGAAAATACGGATAGATAAAATTTGTTTTAATTGTTAGATTTTTAATTAACATTTCAATATTGCTTATTTACTCCACTTGCCTTAATTACAACTCGAAGATGCCTCAGCATACTTTCTACCACTCTGGAAATGTCTCTGCTGGAAGTTAGACCATACTTCAAGATCGTGGAGTGTATCAGGAAGTGCTCTTATTTGTCATTTGAGGTTATCCCATAAATGTTAGATGGGATTCAAAGTCTGGAGAACGGGCTGGCCAGGCTAAGACTCTGATGATATGCTGTTGAAGGTACGTTTGTACTATGCGAGCGACATGTGGACAGGCATTATCGTGCATTAGAATAGGATTGTCGCTAATTTCATTGAAGATAGTCAATGCATGATGTCCCAAAATTTCATCCACATAGCAATTGGTCATCAAAGACCCACCAGCAACAACAACCAACTTTGTGCGACTCCATTGAAATTCCCGTCCATACCATCACTGAGCTACTTTGAAAAGGTTGACTCTGGGAAACCTTACAGGCTTTGTACCTTTCATTTCGCTTTCTCCACACTCTTTCATGCCCATCTAAAGATACTAGAGCAAATCTACACTCATCTGTAAAAAGTACAGTGGACCAATCGTCCAAAGACCAATGGCTGTGTTCTTGAGGAAATACGAGCCGTGTAACTCTGTGTGCTCTAGTCAATTCCTGTCTGGGGAATGGCCATCAGTCCATACTGACTTAATCTTCTTCAAGCAGTGCATTCAGAAATTTGGACAACTTGAACTTCCTGGAGCTGATGAATCACTCTTACAACAATAAGGTGCTGGTTTCACAAAATTCTCCAAGTCAAGAAACAGTCATTCTGTGGTTCTGTTACATACAGCATCCAGAACAGGCCTTCTATGGTAGGACCCATTTTCTCGAAAACTTCTAACAGCGTCTCGTAGAATTTCGTAGGGAACACCGATGGCGATAGCCACATACCAGATGGAACGTCAATTATCAATAAGTGCCACACCACGCGCATCCTCAGCACTAAGTGGCATTTTAAAGTTTAAAAATTGAAAGTAAGAAAAGAAAGATGAAGACTAAACATAAACAGCTTTATCGCTTCAGAATTTTGAAATTCCGTAAAAAGTAGACATTGAAAAATCTTTTTTCCTTGTTTCAAATTACGGATTAAGTGTATTTACCTCTAATTGATATTCCCAATTTAAAACATAATCAAATATTTATTGATAAAAACAACGAGACAAATTAAAAATTTTCTTTTATTGAAGAAATAAAAAAATCAATTGGGTGGAATTTTTTGTCTGTCATTATACATTGTATTAAACTAATACATCATCAGATATTTACATGTTGTTACATTCAAGTTGATGGAAATGAATTAAAAATGTCTATACAGAATGAAAATATTGGCCATTATACATAGTGAGCATTGTTCACTGTTTCATTACGTATAATGCTCACCAAATAATTCGTTCATTATGTAAAAAGTCAAATTGTTTTATGCAAGGTGAATAAAAATTAACTGTCCAATTTAAAAAAAAAGTAGTAATGACCATATCACAATATTACTTTTGTTCTTTACCCAAAAAATCCAACACAGGACCTTTATGCAAAATGAATTATAATTTCTACGCAGACTGAATATTTATTCGTTATACATAATGTGCATTGTTCATGTGTCATTATACGCAATGCGTGGTGATTGGTAACCGTTAGTCATGATTATTCAGAGATCGTGATTGTGTGTTGTGTTGAGAGTGCCCCACACAACACAACAATGGCACAATTATGCAGGAAACAAACACTTTGAGCCCTGAAGATGATCATAATAAAGATCGAAACGTTAGCACGATAAAGAAAATGTTTTTCTGAAACCTATGTCACACCAGATCACATATCACGATCTCCGAATAATTATTTAGAATGCCAACCTAATAATTCGGTCATTATACAAAATGTCCAAAATGAACTTTTTCCTTTATGCAAGCTGAATAAAAATTATCTGTCCAATTTAAAGAAAAGTAGTAATAACTATATCACAATATTGTACTTGTGTTTATTACAATTCGATTGTTCAGACTGACTGTCATTACACAAAAATCCAACACAAGACCTTTGTGAAAAATTAATTAAAATTGTCTGTATAGACTGAAGACAAAATGCGCCAATTAACTATTTCCTTTATGCAAGCTGAATAAGAATCCTTTTTAATAATAGTTTTTTTAATTCTACCCAAAACCAATAGTAGATTTATTGCCCTAGATAATAGATATATGAATAAGTGAAGGTGTCGGTAGGAAAATATAGATTTTTCAGTCAAAATCGACGCGGTTTGGAGCTTGGGCGGAATTTTTGAAATTAAGCGGTAAAATTGAAATATAGAAAAATAAATATTAGACGATTTGTATTAACTGGTGTTTTTGTTAAAAAAATTAGATCTTTCGTTCTTTGTAAAAGCGACGTGTTGATTACTTTTAATTTGTCGATCGAGTATTCGGCAACGATCGTGTAGACGGTGGTTTTTCACAGCGACCCAGAGATCAGGTGCTTCGTACGTTCATCGTTCATACTTCCAAACTCCTGCCTCATAGAAATTTGGAAAGATGGCCGCCCTCAGGACTGTGTTTAACGTCTCGAAGAGGAACATTTTCCTCTCCGCCTCGAGATTCAACACGGGTGATTATCAGAAAATACGAATAATTTCCTTCCCTTGAAACCGGCTAATAATTTCCTTCGACAATTTTCAGAGATGCCCGACCCCATCGATCACGCCACTGGTATCGAAAAGAGAGAACTCCTAGCTAAAATGGCTGGAAACGAGGTGAGGGAAGATTTATTATTTTGAAAATCCTTCGCACTTAAAGACAATATTTAAACTCGCGGAGGTTGTACTGGGCTTTCTGTCCTTGGAATGGTGCCCTGTTCAATCCTGTAACATATACATTACCTACCATATTAGACTCTCAATTTAAGTAAAAAATAAATTGATCACTTTATTCGGTGCCTGAGAAGGGCTCGACATTAGTTTCTCTGATCACTCAAGCCTCGTCGCAAACCCCTTCAAATCACTTTATTGTTTTCCTCTAACTGAAACCATCATTTGTCTCAAATGGGCACAGTGTAGGGCTCGCATTCAAACCATTTCAATTTCCTTAATACATTGCGCCAGCATTTTTCCTAATGCTCTACTAGTATTTGATTATCATGTCTAAATTTGCAGGTCTCAAAAGATACTTGTAGCAAAATTGATTTCAATTACTTGCGGTAGATTGTACAGGGCGTTCTCCCTTGGAGTGTGGCTGCCTGTCTGCTCTAGACTGATCCTTCAACTTGGCGGTGGCTGCTGTCTAACTGGTTCCTCCTGTCAACTGCTTCTGAATCAATTGACCGTCAGCTCAACCGACGTGGGCTGCTCTTCAACAATCAACTCATCTCGTGTGTTGGCCACTGTTTGACTATTTTTGTGAGTCCTTGAGTCGGCTTCCGCCTTGAGTTGACCGACTTTTCCAAATCGTCCCCAATCAGGGTACGGAAGAAAAGGAAAGAGAAAAATTGCTGGGCCAGATGGTCAGCTTCCTTTTTTTCAAGGGTTGACTGTGCAATAATTCCCAATAATTGTCAAAAGTTTCCGTTACACAGCCTCCTGGTGGTCCGTGTCGATGGACATTCGGCAATGAGTGTATAATGTTGACCCCAATTCATAATGTCCCGCACTTGGATGGACTGAGTCCGCGACAATGTTCCCACTATTCATCTATTATTTTTCTATGGCTTCCATTTTTTTGGAGCATGGGTAATGAGAATCCCCTCCCCCCAAAAAAAAAACTTCTATGTTGTAGGAAATGTTTGCTGCCTACCAGGTGGGTAACCAACCAACCGATCTACAGCCTTATTTCCAACATATCACATGCCCACAAGAAAAGTGACACAAGTTGAAAAATTATAAAAACCGGATTATTTGTTTTTTGAAGTTTCGGATATGTGATGCTACAGGATGCTAGGTGGGCTCTTAGCTTGTAGGCACTGTGTCATTTTTGAATTGGCTGGAACGAACTGTCACCGTTCACAAAAAGTGGCACGTATGGAGTTATATCAGTTTTTTCTTCTTTAGTGAAGGATTTTACATACTGGAGTCACATTTTCACATTATGAAAAACAATTGTTAAATCAATTGTACAAATATAGGGGTGTTGGTGGCCGCAACGGTTTAGGCATTGACATGGTGCTCATCACTAACATAAAGGGTCCCCGGTTCGAATCCAGTGGCCCTGTATTGAAATCCGACATCCTTCCAAATGGGATTTTTTCAAATGTACCAGCACCCTGAGGGTTTATATGACCTCTGCTGTTGCAGACCCTTGTAAAAAAAAAAAAAAAGAAAAAAAAAGACGTTTTTCATAATGTGAAATTAATATAGGCCCTGATGATAACCTTAAAATATATCAAAAGTTTGGCAGAAAAAACTGAATATGCATTTTTTTCTTCAAGATCATACCTTGATCTAGTGTTTGTGAATTATTATAATAAATTATAGTTTCATTTCTTTTATTTTAATAACATTCTTACTTATAATATTGTTTTTCATATTTTTTTTTAACAGTGTTGTCTTTTAACTTGCAACATTATTAATGTCACAAGCGGGATCCCCACAACCTTTGGCTTAATACGCCACTGCTCTAACCGCTTGAGCTATCATAACTTCAGTCTGCTCAGACACCAACACATTTCCAATTTTTCATCTTGACCAAAAACCTTAGACAAAAAGAATAATTAATTGGAATAACTTAATATGATCAATTATGACCATTAAGCAAGTATTGATTTAGTAATGAAAAGAAGTAATTATTTCATAAGACGCTGAGAATCAAATCCTGATTACATGACATTGGAAAATATGGCAAAAAGAGGGAAAAGTCTAATGGTTTTAGGTTGAGATGGGTAGTTGGTATCCAAGTGGATCGAAGTCAGGATAGCTCAAGTGGTTAGAGCAGTGGCATATTTAGGTCATAGGTTCAAATCCTGCTCGTGACACTAAATTTTCATCTTGACCAAAAACCTTAGATAAAAAGAATAATTAATTTGGTCACTTATGACTACTTAACAAATGTGGATTATTAATAGTTTCAATGATTTTTTAAAAAATGTTTTGCCCTGACTCCAGGAGGAAAGCCCATTTGGGTCAGAAATAATGTTAGTAAGACTTTCTACTTGCTTGTTTGTTAGGCTTGTATGTTGTCTGTTACTATTACATAAAAATTAATACCCTTACAGCCATTCATTGACCATCATTATCGTTAGAACAAGAAAGATATCCAGCAAGAAATTTGTCACAACTCAAAGGGGTGTTTTTTAGGGGTAGTACAGCTGGATTTTTACAGCTTAGTGTTTTCGCTTAGGTCTTGGAGAAACAAATGATTGATGGATCATGACAGTTTTTATTGCCAGTAATGGCATATACATAAGTTTAAAAAAAATTTCATTTGGCTCTCCTGTAAAATTTTCTTTTGTTGAGTTGTGTACGTAAAGTTTTCTTGTGGGTGTACGATATATTTGACCTCCCTTACAACCTTTTTACAGGTCGCTGTCTTAGAAAGGTCAGTTATGACCGGAATTAAAGAACTAGAAGCAAGAATTGTTTAAAAAAATTTTGTATGTATACATTCATCTCATGTCTAATTGGAAGCAGAATGAGTGCACCATGTCTTCACAAGCAGCAATTGCAACTTCTATATGTACATTTATTTTAATTAAACAGAAATAAAAAAGATGGTAGTAAAGACAACTTTGATGTCAGAAATATGCACACAACAGATCTGTTCAATGTATTTGAGTTGGAGTATGGCTTGTTTTTCTGAAATTGTGTCTTATTTTTTCCGATCTGGATACAGGGAAACACAGATAGATAAACTGGTAGAGCAGAATTTCTTTATTTTTTCCTTTCAAACAGAAATAAGGAGATAAATTGTGCTCATTCTTTACAGCCTTCATTCTTTGGTAGTATGGATCTTAATGTTTGATATGATATGATGTTTGATACAACTTGCTAGGTGCTGTTAACTTTTTTAATAATTTAAAAAAAAAAATAATATAGTTTTTCAGACTGATACTATTGAATCTGGACTGAATAAAACATGTCCTGATTTACAGGCTTTTCCGTTGCAAAGATTTATTTTTTCATGTATTGCCAGTGTCTGTTTTTTATTACATATTTATTTAACTAAAAACAGTAAAAGTTTAGAAAAAAATTGCAATAATCATTTTGTGAGGCAAAAAGTAATGGGATTCAGAAAATTTGTAAAACGCAAATATTTTTATTCGGATTAATTTATTCATACTCAGAGCTAACCACATTTATCTCTTGACAAAGAAACTGATTTAAATTTACAGTTAAAATTAAAATCAAAATGTAAAATTTTAGATTTAAATTTCAAACAAGGCCAATCTTAAATTTAAACCATAATCTTCAACTTCTAATGGGAAATATTAAAAGTGTTTATTCATTGTTTTTTTAGAATCCTTTTGACTTAAGGGTTTTGAAGAGAGGACCTGGCACTAAGGACTGTCCGAATCAAGTCCCATCCGCGTATGATTCCCGTATTCTAGGCTGCATCTGTGAAGAGGATGCCACCACAATTAACTGGATGTGGCTCCATCAGGGCACGCCTAGAAGATGTGCCTGTGGCCACTGGTTCCAGCTCGTTTACAAGGCCCCAGTTTAAAAAGATGGAAAAAAATAAAACCCAAGCGAATAAAGTTTAGTCGTTCACTTGTATTATATGTAATGTTGTTAAATAAATTTTAAGTTAATAAAATTAATTAAAACAATTATTTTTATTATTTATCATTTACAAATTAAAATGTAATTCCATCTCAATTCTAATATGCTAAAAATGTGCTTAATTGTTTTATGCGAGTTTGTTTTATATTGTCTGTACAACTCATTATGATGAATGCACTTCAGACTAATACCATAACCCCTCCTCAACTGAGGTTGTCCTTCATTCCAAGGACTGGAGTGCTTCAATAAGAATAAGAAATTGACTTTAGAACGTTTTTCACTTATTATTCTGGATAGGGGTACTGATAGATAAAAATAGATTTCATAAAATTTGTAGGTTTTAAATTTCCATGTGTTTTAAGAAGAATTTACCAGACCATAACATACTTTTTTTTATACTTCAAATACATGTGCCTGATTATACGATAGTAGTTTATTGCCAAGTTTGAAGACTTTCCATTCAGACCCAGATTTTATCAATGTGCTGTTAACAGTTTGTTGTATGTATTTTACTCAAGCATTTGTATCTAATTGTCCAATTAACAATATTGACCAGTTAGACTAGTTATTCAGATATCGTGAGATGCGGTCGGGTGTGATGTAGGTTTGAAAAACATTTTCTTTATCGTGCCAACGTTTCGATCTTTTATTGAGATCATCTTCAGGGCTCAAAGTGTTTGTCTTCTGTGTAATTGTGCCATCCTTGCGTGTCGTGTTGAGAGTCCTGTATCACACCCGACTGCATCTCACGATATCTGAATAACTATCGATTAACGGTCACTAATCTCTACACAGTTAGACTAGTATTGATAATCAATCTAACATCATTGTATGAAATCATTAATAGTTTTTCTCCTTCAATTTTCAGTATATACAGTTGCCCAATATATATTTTTTTTAATAAAAACAAAAAAATTTTATAAGAAATTTGCTTTTACTGATTGTATAAGCTCAAATCTGCACATACTCATTTGAACATGTTGAGCCTATCACTTCTCGTAGCTTATTCAAGCTCCTGTAATAATACAATTTACAGGCTGAGCTCGAAAATCACCCATCCCGGGTTTTGGCAGTATGGGGTCATATCTTGGTCTACCAGCCATCTAGCTGCCGAGGTTGGGTTTCCAGGGACTACTAACTATTCACTCAGGGTGGTGGAGTACTCGGTATTCCTCAATTATATAACTAACCTAATCGAGGGTCGACAGGATACTCAATATTTTGTTCTTGGTCTTCTCACACGCATTCACACCAATAAATACATTCAGTCTCAACACTCACTAGGGGACACAAGACTGTCAGTACTCAACCCTGGAAGAACAGGGGACCCAAATATTCACTAGGCCCTTCCCAGCTAAAGCACAATTCTCATATCGGTTGGTATTCTTACTTACTCTCAATAAGGAGCCAAGGAATGGCACCCTTCAATTAAGTTGGAAACTTGGAAAGCAAAATTTCTCTTCATGCTGGATGCTTACATGGACTTTGGCCTAATGTAAGTTCCTGTGTGTCAACCATGATGGCTACAAGTCATCCTCCAGAGGCTATCTGTCAACAGTGCTCCATCATAAGCTTCTTCGCTGATCCATCGATGCTGCCATTGCCTTTTAATCATGTTTTTTATTATATTTTTGTGTCAGGACCGTCGTGGTGTGGTGAAGTCTGGCAGTTGGGATGTCCTGTCCTTAGCTACGTAGCCTTTTCATTTCCCTCCGGAACATTGTGTCTGGGGAACTACACAACAACCACCATTATGCCAACACGCTCCAGTTCCTGGTTTCATTCCAACAGGATTACCACGAGGAAGTCGATTACTAATTATCATTAGTAATTGTGGTGATTTAGAAAAACGTTTACTACATTATATAACTAACTTAATTGAGGGTTGATGGGGTACTCAATATTTTGTTATCAGCCTCTTTCACAGAGATTTATTCACAACAATAAATACATTCACTCTCAACACTCACAAGGGGACACAAGATTATCAGTAGTACATGCAATAAAACAACCCTGTTTGGAAAAGTGGACCCAAATACTTGCAGCCGTGCTCAAGTACAATTCTCAAATCTGGTGGCATTCCTGTACACTCTGAATGGAGCCAAGGAATTGCACACCCCATCCAAGGTGGGGCACATCGAGCAACCAGACACATAAGCGTTCTTTGGCACAAAATTAAGTGTCTGTGTGTCAACCTCGCATGGCCTATTCTTAATCGGTGCAGATAACCCTTCTTCTACGAGTCATATCTTCCGAGGGCCACCCATCAACAGTGCTCCTGATACGTGAGAGCTTCTCTGTTGAACCAGTCCATTGACACTGCCACCTTCTTTTAATCATGTTTTTATTGCATTTTGAGCATCAGAGATTGCGATTGTTAGGTCCGGAGGTTGGGACGTCCCAGCCTTACCACCTCGTCTGCCTTTTCATTACCCTCCATACCAATGTGTCCAGGTACCAGACAACAACCACAATTTTGCTCTAGTTCATGGCATCTCAACAACAAAAGCACTATGAGGGGGTCCATGGCAAACCTGTCACCAAGCTGAGGGAGTTGGTGTAGACCAGGTCAGCAGAAGAAAAATTATTTTTTTATACTGGTAACTGTACCCAATTACAATTTCTGTAAGATTTTAAAATATACATATATAATAATTGAAACAAATAATAATATACATATTACAATAATTAAAAATATGGACCTATTATACATAACAAACACAAATAAAATATTGTAATTTAAAAAAAAAAAAGTGTAAATTGACTTAAGGAAAGGTAAAATCATGACAATGTAAAGGATGTTTATTACTTGTTTACATGAGACAAGGAATCAGACTAAATTTTTTAACTAGTATTAAACTGTGGAACATGGGAATTCAGCAAATTGATTCATTGTGGACAGTTGATCATATTATTTAAAAGTTTGTAAGAAAATATTAGGTCATTTTGTCTTCTTATGTTTAGTGGTTCAGTTCTACCCATTCCATAATAAGTTTGTTCAGTGTATCTAGGTATGTTCTAGTAATTTTAAACGAGAGAGTGTGAATAAATCATTGCTGTACATATCCTATTGAATTATTGGTATTTTCTGATGTGGTGGCCAAACATCTGAACAGTATTCTAAAATGGCACGGACCATTAAACTGTATAATCAATGCTTCTGAATCTTCAAAAGTTTTTATAGTTCTATGTAAAATACCTAAAATTCGGTCTGCCTTGTTAATTATTGATGTACAATGCAAGTTAAATGTCAGGTTGTTAGAATAGGTTATTCTAAGGTCTTTAATGGTAGTCTGCCTGTCCAATTGGTTATTTTGTACCGCATAATATGGATAAATAAAATTTAGATAATTGATAGAATTTAAACAGAGCATTCTAATTGATTGTATCCTAATCTATATCAAGAGAATTTTGTGGCTTCATTTTTGTTTGATATTTTTTTCTGGATTATAAAAAACTTATTAAGCTTTTCCAACATTTTATAGGACTTTTGAGGCTCTTTCTGCCTCCTCAGTTTATATTTTGAATATCAACAACCAACACCAATTCATAATATGTATACACCCATATTAAAAACAAACAATTTACATTATCAAGAAAAAATTATTTTGTAATAAAAACAAATATAAAAGAAAAACCGTGGTTTTTTTTTTTTTCTGAATCTGAATCTGAAATCTGCCATTACAGTGTTAGGCAATATGTTATTTAAAGGGAAAGTTTCCCTTCTTTAAGAAATCTGTAGATCAAGTCAAAAATTTTAATGTTGTTACTGGCAAGTAACGTCTCTAGATTGATAGGCCAGGAAACACTTGGGATAGAACGCAAATCATTAAAAAGTATATCTCTTTCTCGTTCAAATTCCGGGCACTCTAGTATAATGTGTCCAGGGTTTGATGGGCAGTCACAAGTTGGGCAGTTGGGAGATGTCTGTAACCCTATCCTATACAAATAACTTCCCCAAAGGCCATGATTCGTCTTTAACCTGAAAACAGTCGTATGATAATCCTTGGGCCTAACAAATTCTGAAAACCACGGTTTCGACTTAAGAGTAGGGTACAATGACCGGTAATAGCTTCCAGTATGGTCTGAATTGTATTCTTTCTTCCAAAGTTCTAAACATAATTTATGCACATAATTTTTTGCGTCAGATTTTGGAATTTTTATTTCGTAACGTATGCCGGATGTTGTGGCCTCTTTAGCCAAAGCATCAACAAACTCGTTCTCTTTAATCCCTGCATGACCCTTAATCCATCTTAATTTCACAATTTTCCCTGCGACTTTAAGGTCAAAAAGTTTTTTTCTCACCTCTGTTAAAATGTAATTTCTGCCTATATAGTTTGGGGATAAGTTACAGTACATATATAAGTTACAGACAAAGCTCTGTCTACTGCGGTAAGTTCAGCTGAGAACACGGTGATTTGATTGGGAAGGACGTATTGTTCCTTGTATTCTTTATTGGAAACATAAAAAGCACATCCCAAATTGCCATCCAACAGAGACCCATCTGTAAAGATAAGTTGATAGTCTGGATATAATTCTATCATATCTGCAACAAATTCTTTTTGAGAAAAATTGGGAGAGGCTTGAGAATAGTCTTTTAAATAATCAATATCTGCTGCCGTAATCAATAAACTGTATTCTAACTGGTATACAGGGTCTATGGAATTTTGCTGCAGCGAGTATATGAAGGGTACGATTTGAGTGAAAGCAGAGACTAATGATGGAGGGTTCTTTTTTCCCCAGTACGCCTCTATATTTACTTTTTCTGTGAGAGTGACAATCTTTTTAAAATTTTGGCTGTCCTGACTATACAGTTTGATAAGAAAATTTAAACCCAACTTTAGCTGTCTTATTTCTAAAGAAGTTTCACATGTTTCAGCCGCTAATGATATAATTGGAGTACTAGGAAGACCGCCCAGAATTCGTCTTAGGCAAGAGTTACGAAACGTATCAATTTTTTTAAGGAAAGATCGAGAGGCCTGTCCATA